TTTCAGCAAAATTTCACTTGTGTGTGATATTAATGACATTATTTAATGATTTCTGGATTCCATTGGATTAAACTCTCTTTGGAATGAGTTCAAATATGGACCTCTTCCAATCGGTTGATCAGGTAGTTGTCTTCCAGATTTCTTGGCATATATAAGTGAGTTCCTCCAATGCTGCATCAGTTTGTTAAAAGATTTCAATTTGGATTCCATCAATTCCTGGAACCTTGTATTTTTGCCAATGTCTTCAGTGCAGTTTGGACTTGTTCCTTTAGTACCATCCATTCTTGACCATATGCTACCTCTTGAAATGGTTGAACATTGACCATTTCTATTTAGTGCTGTGACTCTGTATTCTTTCTATTTTTTCTTGATGCTTTCTGCATCATTCAATAGTTTTCACATGTTGTTGTTAAGTGACATGGAATCATGTGTTTGAGCAGCAGCTGGTGGGTTTGAATTGCCAACCTCACAGTTAGTAGTCCAGTGCTTATCCTACTGAGCCACACCAGGACTCCATAGAATTTTTCAATATTTCAAATTGAGGCTTGAATTTTTTTCTTCAGTTTTCTCAGGTTAAGAAATGCTGAGTTTACAAACCCTTTTAGTTTCTAACTCCGGGTCTTTGTGTGTTTCATTATAATACTTGACTGTCTTCTTAAGCTCCCTTTGAAATTTCTATTCAGCTCTACTACTTCCTCATTTCTTCCATGCCCTTGTCACTATAGTACAACAAACTGAAAGACAAGTGGTGGTCTGTGACGTTAATGAGGCAGAATTAGAGGTAAATGGACTCCTGATGTGCCACTGTGTGATCAGTATTGGACTTTGAACCATAAGTCAGCAGTTCAAACCCACCAGCTGCTCCTCAGAAACCCTTCAGAGAGTTGCTATGAGTTGGAACCAACTGGTCATGTTGCGGTTCACAACAACAACATACATATTAATAAGGCAGGGTACAATATACTGAACTAGGTTGTATCTTAGTAAATCTCTTTTGTGATAAAAAAAAAATAGAGATTAAGTAAGTGTACAGAGATAAAAGGACCTAATTAACCCCAAGAAAGAATATCCAGGAGAGGAATGTGTTCTTTGGGCCTGAGATTTCTGAACTAAGAATCTCCTAAACTCAGGAGGTAGATTAATGCCAAGACACATGTAGATCTCCTAGAAATAGCAAGTCCACAGTTGTTGAAAAAGGATAAGTACTTTCCCCAAGAAGTTGCTCCCCTGAATTTGGACTTCTAGATGCCTAAGCCATGAGAGGAAAAAATTCAGTTTGTTAAAATCATGACTTGTACTATTTCTGTTATGTTGTTGTTATTATTTACTATCAAGTCAGTGCTGACTCGTAGCGAACTTGAATAAGGTTTGTGAGGAGCTGCTGGTGGGTTTAATGCACTGACCTTGCGGTTAGCAGTCCAGTGCCTATCCTACAGTGCCACACCAGAAGTCCAAATTTCTAGCAGCAGTAAATAACTAAGATACAGACAGAGAACGAATAGTTGAAGAAACACTGGCAGAAATTCTCCCCAACATGACAAAGGACATATATCTACAAATCTAAGAATCTCAAGAAACTCCAAGTAAAATAAATCCAAAGAAGTCTACACTAAAAAACATTTTAATCAAGCTCTCAAAAACTGAAGATAAAGAGAAAACCCTGAAAGCAGCAAGAGAGAATAAATAGTCGTATACAAAGGATCCCAAATAAGATAAGTGCTGATTCCTCCTCAGAAACCTTGGAGGCCAGAAAACAATATGACTTATTTAAAGTGCTGAAAGAAAAGATCTATCAACCAAGAATACTAAATCCAGCAAAATTCCTTCAAGAATGCAGATTAATTTAAGGCATTTCCAGATAAACAAAAGTTCAGAAGATCTGTAACAAGTAGACCTACATTACAAGGAATGCTAAAGTTAGTACTTAATAATATGGGAAAGAAAGGACACTAGCTAATAACTCAAAACTATACATTTGTTGTTGTTGTTGTTATGTGCCATGGAGTCAGTTCTGACTCATAGCAACCCTGTACAGGGTTTCCGAGGCTGTAAATCTTTAAGGGAGCAGAAAGTCTGAAATAACTCAAATAACTCAAAACTATACAAAGGAGCTCTGGTAGCATAGTGGTTACGAATCGGGCTGCGAACCTTAAGGTCAGCGGTTCGAAACTACCAGCTGCTCCGCGGGAGAAAGATCAGGCTTTCTACTCCCGTAAAGATTTACACCCTCGGAAACCCTGTACAGGGTCGCTATGGGTCGGAACCGACTCAACGGCACTTAACAACAACATACATAGGTGAGGAAAAAAGATCACTTTGAAGTTAATTTCATAGACAAGTGTTAATGTACATTTTAAAGTACTTTAGGTTGGTTATTGTAGTTGCTATGCTTTTAATGCATTATAGCAGTAAATATACAAGATAAAATTATGATATATACAAACATAATTGGTGCGATAAAAACATAAATGGAGGAGGAATTGTATAGGTATACAGTATTTTTTTTATGTTGTGGAAGTTCAATTGGTTTGTTATGCATGCAAGATGATAAATGTAATATAATAACCACAAAGAAAATATCTTTAAAAAAACAACAACACAGAAAGGCAAGAAAGAAAATAAAGAATATCCACTACAAAAAAGCAACTTCCATGAAATAAGGGGGAAAAAAAGTATAAGAAAGTATAAGACATACACACAAAAAGAAATCACAGAAATAAGTCTTCACTTTTTGGTAATTACAGGAAATGTAAATGACCTAAATGTTCCAATAAAAAGGAAGAGACTGGCAGAATAGATAAGCAAGCAAGTATGATTCAATTATATGCATCTGAAAGAGATCTATCCCAGGCTTAAGGACACAAATAGATTGAAAGTGAACAGACAGAGAAAAAGTATTCCATAGAAATGATAACCAAAACACAGCTGAGGAGGTGACTTTTATATCAGTCAAAATATACTTTAAGTCTAAATTGGTTGTAAGAGACAAAGAATATTATATAATGATAAAAAGGTTATCTCATCATGAAACTATAGGTATGAACAATAAAATTATAGGTATGAACAATAAAAATTAAAATAAATAATATTTTAAAATTAGAAACATATATCCACCTAACATTGGAGCCCTTAAATACCTGAAACAAACACTGAGAGAATTGAAGTGAAAAGTTGACAGCTCTACAAAAATATTTGAAGAACTTAAAGCACATTTACAGTAATGTACAGAACACCTAGAAAAAAAGTTCAATAAAGATACAGAGGATGAGAAAGACATTTTAAACCTAGCATACATACATAGAACACTCCTCCTAACAACAGCACAATATACAGCTCTCATATACACGGATGATTCTCTAAGATAAATAACCTGTTCAGTCACAAAGCAAGTCTCAGTAAATGTTAAAAGATTTAAATCACACAAAATATTTTGAGTAGAATGAGTGAAATTAGAAATTAATAACAGGAAGAAAACTGAAAAATACATAAATACATAGAAATTGAATAGCACACCATCAATCAATAAGTCAAGGACTAAATCAAGTGAGAAATTAGAAATACTTAGAGTCAAATGAAAATTAAATCGCAATATATTGAAACTTAAGAGATACAAGAAAGGCAGTGCTGAGAGGGGAATTTATAGTAAGTGCCTATACTAAAAAAGAAGAAAGTTCTCAAATCAATTTACAGTATACAGAATTAAAACGAAGGGCAAGCTAAACCCAAAGCAGAAAGGAGAAAGGAAATAACAAAAGTCAGAGCAGAGGTAAAGAAATGGAGGACGGAAAAACAATTGAGATAATCAATAAAACCAAAGTTGGCCTTTTGAAAAGTCAGTAAAATCTAAAAAAAAAAAAAGAAACTGACAGAAACAACTAAGAAGCAAAAATAGAGATGACAACTAAATATCTTATGGTACAAGTGAAAGTGGAAAAATTACAACCAACACTACAGAAATAAACAAGATCATAATACTATGAACAATTATATGCTAACAATTGTTCTTCTTTTTGTTGATAAGTGTCATCAATCAACTCTGACACATAGCCCTCTAAACAACAGATGAAACACTACCCAGTGCAGCACTGATCTTGCAATATTTTCTGTTTGAGTCTATCGTTGGCAGTCACTGAGCTCAAAACAAATTGTGTCCTTGAGAATTCTCTTCTTTTTTTCTGAACCTCTGCTTTGCCAGGCATGTCTTCCTCCAAAGACTGGTCCTTCTAGATAACACATTCAAAGTATGTAAGATGAAGTTTCACATTCTCTCTCTGACCGTGGATCATGGATATACTTCCAAGTTAGATGTGTTTGTTTTTGGGTTTGTTTTTTTGTTTTGTTTTGTTTTGCTTTGTTTTTGAGAGGCCATGGTATATTCACCACCACTCATCTGTGTCTTTGTTATGCTGTGGCAACTTGTGTGGTGATTCTGGAAGCTATTCCCACTGTATTTGAAATACCAGAAGGGTCAACCATAATGGACAGGTTTCAGTAGAATTTCCAGACGAAGACAAATGAGCAAGAAGGAGAGGCAAACTACTTCTGAATGGTTAGCCACTGAAAACAATGTAAAGAGCAGCAGAACATTGTCAGATATAATGCCAGATGATGAAAACAGTATGAAGAGCACCAGAATATTCTCATATATAGTGCCAGAAGATGAGTCCCTCAGGTTGGAAAGCACTCAAAATACAGTTGGGGAAGAGCTACCCCTTCAAAGCAGAGTTGACTCTGATGACATGAATGGAGTAAAGCTTTTGGGACCTTCATTTGCTGATGGGGAACAACTCAAAATGAGAAGAAACAGAAAAAATCCATTAATAATCAGTTCATGGAATATGAGTATGATCTTGGAAATTTGGAATTGTCAAAAATGAAATGGAGGTGGCCAGGGTGACAATGGTCTAGCTGAGGCCGGCACTTGTCCACAGGTGCCCGGGTGGCCCTGCGTCCATGGCGCAGCGAGAGGCCGGGGCAGTGGCCTGGCTCCGCGGGCCAGCATGGCAGGCCAGTTCCGCAGCTACGTGTGGGATCCGGTGCTGATCCTGTCTCAGATCGTCCTCATGCAGACCGTCTATTATGGCTCGCTGGGCCTGTGGCTGGCGCTGGTGGACGCGCTGGTGCGCAGCAGTCCTTCGTTGGACCAGATGTTCGACTCCGAGGTAGGTTTCCTGGCTGGCACGAGCTGGATCTCCGGCCTCACCAAGTGAGCTCTAGGCTCCTCTGAGCCACCTGCTTACTTTGTGGCCCTGGGAAAATGATGTCACCTTTCTGATTAACCTCAGTTGCCTCATCCATAAAATGGGATGACTGATAGAGAGAGGTAGGTTAAAACAAAAGAGAGGACCTGCAAGTGACAATAAAGCAGTTGGCATCCCAGACGACCCTGATAACGTTTTCTGAGACCTTGGCTGAGAAAGTGACTTCACTTCTCTAAGTCCAGTATACGGGGGCGGGGGCAAATTGAGAAATTGAGGACCCATTACCCCTCAAGTCAATTTCCACTCATAGTGATCCTATAGGACAGTGTAGAACTGCCCCATATGCTTCCTGTGGCGCAGCTGGGGTTGAACCCGTTTTTTAATGAGTGCTTCCACCACTGCGCCACCAGGGTCAGGGGTGGATAAGAATATACATTAGAAACAGCCTGGACTTTGGAGTCCTTACTTTAATGTTTTAATTGCTGTCTGTGTGACTGGGGGTGGGGGTGGTGTCAAGTGGTGTCTATTGCCTCTCTGAACCCCAGTTTTCCTTTTATGCAAAATAATGAGACCCGAAGCCTGAGAGGTTGTTGGCTGCACAAAGGTCCTGCAGTTTGGATTCAGAAAGGCATAGGGTTCAGTCTAAGCCCGAACATAGTAGTTGTGGTACAGACTACCTTGTGCGACCTTCTGGAAACTGGGCAGAATAATCCTATCATGTCACACTCAGCAAAATGTTATAAGGCTCCGAACCTAGACATAGGAAGGTACTTCAAAGAGAGGTGTAGATGTCTAAGAAGTTGGTGATGGGTGAGTTATTATCCAGAAAAGGCATAATAATATTGACTTTGAGAAGTGGTTCTGAGGATGAGTTAATAAATGTCAAAGGCCTTTGTCATCTGCAAATAACAGTGCAGATATTTGGCATTCAAGGAGCTCTGGTAGTGTAGTGGTTATGAATTGGCCTGCGAACCGCAAGGTCAGCAGTTCGAAACTACCAGCTGTTCTGCGGGAGAAAGATGAGGTTTTTTGCTCCTGTAAAGATTTGTAGCCTCGGAAACCCAGTACAGGGTCGCTATGAGTCGGAACCGACTCCACGGCACATAACAACATTTGGCATTCAGTAGGATTGTGTCAAGGGCATATTTACCAGGTGCCAGGTAATGCCAGGAATGTCATCCTGGCTAGGCCATGTGGGAATCCCTAGCTTTATTAAGAGGCTTGCAGTCTGAATCCTAGAACAGGGGCCAGCAAACCTTTCCTTAAGGAGTGAGGTAATTAAAATGTTAGGTTATAACTAATGAGCTGTCCTATTGTTGCCCCAAGCAGCCATAGATGATAAATGAATAGATATGGTTTCAATAAAACTTTTCTTTTCAAAAATGTCCACAAGGCCATAGTTTGCTAAATCCTGTTCTAGACCTTACTCTTGCTGCCTGTTTACTGTGTTACTTTGGACAAGTTGCTTCACATTTATTTCTTCCTCTATAAAATGATGATGATGCCTCCCCTCCTGCTGCAAGGGTCAAATGAGATAGCATAAGGATGCCTGGGAAAGGTAGCAATAAGTTGCCATACAGATGAAGGGGCATTGTGTTCTGTGCCCTGGGAAGAATGCTCCTTCCTCAGGAGGCCTGTTGAGAGCCTGCAGCTGGGAATTCTGGGAAGCCCCTTCTCTAGCATGTTTCCATTTGTGATTCACCCGCAGATCCTGGGCTTCTCAACCCCTCCAGGCCGGCTCTCCATGATGTCCTTCATCCTTAACGCCCTTACCTGGTGAGTATCACCAGTTTTGCTTATTTGACTTGTGGGATCTTAGCACTAGGACTCAGTTCCTAAATTTGGAAATGAGACGGGCTAGACCTCTGTTCCTGGGGAGTGGTGGAGGGTTGTCATGGGTGTCAGAGGCCAGTTCTACAGCTGGCTCCACCACTGGGGCTCCCTGCTTTGCTGTTTGGACTTTAGAGCTTAAGATAATGGACAAGTCTTAATGTTTCTTACTGTGTGTTTGCTGCGAGTGGGCCAGCTTCCATCTCCGATCACTTTCCTAACATGGAGGGAGGTGAGGAAAGGATTGGGCTGGGAATTAGAACTGGGTTTTAATCTTGAAATGTGTGTCATTGGCCTAGTTACTTCCCTCCTCTGGCCCCCAGACTCATCTATACACTGAGGGTGTTGATGGTCACCTCTCAGGTCACTGATGACTACTGTCGTGTTTCTTGAGAGGCAGTTTAGCACAGCGATGAAGGGCTCAGGCTCTGGGAGTTAATTCACAGGAAGTATTTACAACAATACCTTACACATTACTACTATTCTTGACTGTACATTAGGGGTTAAAAACTGGCATGCTGATTTTGCCCTAAATTTGGCTCCTAGACACATTCTGTTTGGCTTACCCATATGAGCTTGCATATGGCATATAGATTATTCAGTTAATTGAAAATCAAAATATTTCCTATAAAAATCTAGATATGACTTTTTTTGACAAATGGGAAGATCCGTTGACTAACCTTCTAGCATGATAACATTTGCCTAGGAGCAGTTAACTGCTGTCCCTCACTCGAGATGGAATATGAATGCGTCAGAGTACCACAAAGTCCCTAGGACCCCATGAGTGACAATTACCATTGTACTTTTTACTTCTACCCAGCCTGATCCACTCTTGATATATCCGCCAGTTCGTCTTGGCATTTAGTACCGAAGCCCTCACTTCACACTTGTCTCGCTCGCTTCTGATCACTATGCTGGCCTTCTAATTGTCCCCACTCCCCCACTAAGCTAATCTAGAGCCAGGAGAACCCAGTGACATGTCGCTGCTGTCCTCTCCCCACAGTGCCCTGGGCTTGCTGTACTTCATTCGGCGAGGGAAGCAGTGCCTGGATTTCACTGTCACTGTTCATTTCTTTCACCTCCTGGGCTGCTGGTTCTACAGCTCCCGGTTCCCCTCGGCGCTGACCTGGTGGCTGGTCCAAGCCGTGTGCATTGCACTCATGGCTGTCATCGGGGAGTACCTGTGTATGCGGACGGAGCTCAAGGAGATCCCTCTCAACTCAGCCCCTAAATCCAATGTATAGGATCAGACCCTTTGGTTGGACATTGTGCTGGGCACTTAGCCCCCAACACCTTGGGTTGCTCAGACCTTCCAGATGAGGTCCGTCCTGCCCAGGTCTGAGAGGAGGAACCC